TTAGATTGTGATGGGGCCGTACCCCGGCCTGGTTGACCTGCCACCTCGGATCTGATGGGGCAGGTAATCAACGGCCGCCCAGACGATGAGGGGCACGTGGCAGCAGGATTGGCCCTCCGCAATTCCCCACGATAGAGAACACAGAACCACCCTGAAACCTTGGACGGAGGGCACCTCTGTGAACGCCACGTGGTCCGACAAGCGAGGAGTGCCGTTGCACTCCCCCCAAAACACTACAACTCTCTTGCTCTTCAATACTGTTTGGCTAAGACCAACTAGTCTTAAACAGTTTGGCGTAGTCAAAGTCAACCTCTTCTCCGCCCTTACTGACTTAGCATCGGAGCGCCCCACCTCGGGGCCTTTAACTTCACTCTCTTGCAAGTCATCAAGCTCTCTTTTCACCTCGTCCAGATCACTTCATCCACCACAGCTCGTCCTACACAACTCGCCCGCTACTGCACATCCAGCTCAACTTGTCCAGTTCAGAAGGACCCTTTTCTGCTGTTCATCCACCTCAACGCAGACAACAATAATGTAGGGCCTTGATCTTCAGCACGCTTACCACATTCTGACCACATTCCATACCTCTGTGGTCAACGTCTCCAACATCTCCCACTCGCTTCCCATCAAGCTGAGTCACAACTACTTACCTTGGAGGGCGTAGATGATTCTAGTCCTCAAAACTCACAAATTGCTTGGTCTCATAGAAGGAACCATACAAGCTCCTCCAACTCACATGGATGGTTCTGATGGACAGAGAGTGATGAACACAGAATATGATGATTGGGTGCAGCTGGATCAACTTGTTCTTGGGTGGATCATTCCTTCTCTCACTAAGTGTGTGGTGACAGAAGTGATGGTTTGACCACATTAGCTGAAGTTTGGAAGGCCCTATCTGCAACCTACTCCGCCATCTCAAGGTTGAGAGCTCTTCATCTAAAGCGACAACTACAGAGCATCAAGAAAGGGTCGGAATCGATAATCGAGTATGTCAAGAGAGCCAAGGTAATTGCCGACAGCTTAGCAGCTATTTTTGAACCGGCAGGCAAAGAAAATCTTATTCTCTGCATTCTTTCTGGACTGGGAACCGAGTATGAGTCCATAGTCACTGTGATCACCAATAAGACTGATTTTGATTTTCTTACTATTAATGATATATTGGGACTTCTCTTAAATCATGAGGCATGGTTGGAACAACACAATCAGCCCCCCTTCTGCAAATTTTGCTGCACATGGTAAAAATAAAAATAATTGGAACTCCAAAAGTACAAACCGAGGGGGTGGTTCTACTCTCGGCAATGGCAGAGGTCGCGGCAGTGGCCGCAACCGTGGAGGTTATCCTAACCAGCATAATGGCAACATAAATAACGGTGGTGGCCATGGGAAAGGAAATTTTTCCCAAATCATCTACCAGGTCTGCAACAAACCAGGCCATGGTGCTCTTATCTACAGGAGGCGCTATGACTTATCATATCAGGGAGAACAACAGACTCCTTCAGACACTGTTGTGTATCACACAAGTGTTGGGAATGAGGTTGATCCCACGTGGTATCCAAATTCAGGCGCCACTCATCATCTAACTCCAGATGTAGACAATCTGCAGAACCGGTCCAAGTACATGGGTTTGGATCAGGTTACTGTTGGTAATGGACCATGTTTGCAAATTTTACATTCTGGATCTTCATCATTGACACATAATAATCATACATTTGCTCTCAACTCCACTTATCATGTTCCTCATATCACGCAAAAAAAAGCTCCTAAACCGTGTAGGCTGTGGGACCCCAACAACCAAAATTTCCCACCTTCCCTCCATCCCTGCCTCACCAACTATATGCAACCACAAAATTTCAATTGGAATAGGAAAAAAAAGGGGAACAAGAAAAAATAAATCCTTCAAGAATAAGAGAGAGATGTTCCATGAAAATATTAACATACCAATTGAGATATCCATGCATCTATCATGTTATCTTTTATGATTTTTCTCGTTCATCCTAATGCTTCAACATCTCATATATGGGTTTTCTTCTTCAAATTCTCATTCTTCTCACCCTCCCTCTCGATACCATACTAGCTCAATGCCACAGTGACGTCTCCCTGACTGGCTGCCTCCTCTACTTCACCGAGAATCAAACTAAGCTCCTTAGCTGCCTTCCCGCCAACTCATTCCAAATGTTTTTGGATGATAGTTTCCTTTGTTATGACACTTGCAATTTTTACAACCAGATTCTTTTCGATTTACACCTTAGCGCAATGTTGGAAGATGTTGAGCAAAAACGGATGTACGCATTATTTACAAAAGGCGGGGAATGTGATTCATAAAAGGAGAGGTCAAGGCGTTCGAAAAGTTTGAGGTTTTTTTTTTCGAGTTTTAAGTAGGATAATTTACAAAAGGGTATAATTGGTATTTGAAAATCAATTTAACGTTTTTTGTTTGGAAGGGAGGTTTTTGTTAAGTTTTTTAAAAGTTTGGGGGAGGTGTTTGTTAAAACAAAACTAAATGAGAGGTTTTTATGATTGTCAAAAACTTTAGGGGAGGTTTTTATATTTTACCCTTTTATATATTATTTCATGGGCTAAACAACAGGATAGCCCATCTCTCATACCCATAATACTTAAACCTGAGCGAAGGTGGGAACCGATCCCATCTCTGCTGCGCTACAACCAGCCAAAGACCTTACCAATATAGCTAGCCAATTGCAGTGTTTAATTAGATTCCCACTTGTTCTTGGTAACCTTGATAAAATACACCTTTGTTGATAAGCTTGATTAGAGTTGAAATATTAAAACCTTAATGTCCTTAAATTAAAATAAAATCAAACCATAGATTAGTGACCTCAATGGGGTAAATTTCCATTTTCCAACACAATGTGGGAATCTTATGTGTGGATTAGGAGAGTGAATGGCCAACCAATCAGAGGTTCCACCATTAAATCAGCTACATGGCACTAAAACAAAGTAAAAGTAAGTTGTGCAAGGAATCTTCTTTTGTGCTTTTTCAGTTAATACATTAAAGTAAATAAATATACTTTATTATTCCCATAAGTCTTATACTAGTGCATAGCTTATGACATGACTATACCAAGTTAGTAATATTATAAAATTAAAACATTGGAATGGCACATTCCATGCCTATAAAAGGATAACTAGAGGAGTTGTCATCAATTTGGAATTATATAAATATATTATATATTTAGGGGAGCAAATGCAATTTGGGCGGGCTCAGGTGGGGGAATTTGTTGAAATTTGAATGTACCTAGTCTGGCACGTGGTCAGTGTAAAATTTTCAAATCGGATATTTTTAATTTCCTTGTATAGGAATAATTTGGCAAATCCCTAACTTTTCCCTAGCTTAAGTACTCTTCAGACTAGTCATTTCCATTCTATCTCAACCAAGTTGAAATCAGCCCCCCACAAGATAGTTTCCCACAATATCCTCATAGAGGGGTGGTCACGAGCAGAGCTTTCTACAAGCTATTTGAGCTCGGTTCGGCTTGATTTTAATCAGGCTTCGAACCCAATTTATAGACTTGTTTACTAATCAAGCCAAGCTCGAGCCTAATAAAGCTTAGCTCGTAAGGCTTACAAGCCGACTCGAATATCTACATATATACATACATACATACATACATACATACATACATACATACATACATACATACATACATACATACATACATACATACAATAATAATAATAATAATAATAATAATAATAATGAATATATAATAAAAATATTATATATAATATTTTTATTTTTATATATAATAATCATTAATTATTATAATTCTTAATTTTTTGAATATCAAATAAATTTTTTAATATATAATTTTTATAAAACATTTTTCTCAAGTTGAGTACAAACTTACGAGCTTTTGACTCGAATCAAGCTCAAGCTCAAGCCTAATACTACCTTGGCGAGCTGAGCTTGAATAGCTATTCGGCTCGGCTCAGTTCGAATCCACCCCTAGTTCCACATCACATCCCTATCATATATTGGAAACATCTCCCAATGATATCTCATCATTTTTATACTTATCATCAACAAATGTTTCTAATACACGACGGAAATATGCTATGGGACGTTGTGGGAAACTATCTTCATGGGGCTGATTTGAGCTCATCTCAACTATGGTCCAAAGCAAATTTTAAAGTGTCGATTTATTTGATAAATTGATAAGTTTTTTCATGTGACCTCTTTTATTGGTTAAGGCCAATGAAATAGCCTACCTCAAAGAATAGGCATGGAATGAAAATAGCCTATTTCATTGGCCTTAACCAATAAAAGAGGTCACATGAAAAAACCTGTCAATTTACCAAATAAAAGAGATAAACCTATCAATCCTTTGAGATGGGTTATTTATTGGTGCATATACATATATATATATATATATTATATTATATATATTGATATGTTTTAATATTTTGAAGCTTGGTTCAAAGCATCGACACATGTAATATTTGTGTTAAGTATTTCAAAAGTAAATGCATTAGGAGGAATTCTAATGTTTAAAGGTTATGTTTGATTTGAAAGAAAAGGTAAGAAAATAAATGACCAATGCATAGTTTTCCTTTAAAAGCACTGTTGGACCCACCTTTGTCTGAAGCGTGCTCGCGAGGCAGCTCGGCTGCAATGATGCTTGATAGAAGTACCTGTCGAAAGGACACGTGGCACGTATCAAACTCGTGAAATAAACTCTACCGAGTCGTTTGGTCAACAGATCCGACGGTAGGCAGCACTCCTTGCTAGAGACGCGTCTCCAAATTCTTTGCTTCCCAAGCCATGTGTCCTCAAATTCCACGTATCTGTATTCTGTAACCGCCATCAGCATCAGCAGATTTTACAGCGGCACTCATCAAATTACAAACTGGTAATTTACCGTTGTAGGCATCATTAATTATTTACCGTTAGATTAATGATAGAAGAGTTCGGAAGTTCGTAAGTAGTATGATATCGTCACACGTTGGAAACACCTTAAAATTAAATTATCCTCGGCGAGACGCGAGAGGGAAAGGGAAGGAGAGGGTTTCGTCATGTCTGTTGTTGGTATAAAAAGGACGGCACTCGTGTTCGTCACCTGCGTTATCTAGAGGTCCTGAAATCCTCTGAGAGACGGAAGAAACTCATCTACACTATCGCTCTGGAAACCCTAACTCCATATCCTACCTAGTCCTCCATTTTCTCTCGGAAAAAAACTCATCTACACTATCGCTCTTAGAGACGGCCTCTGAATCTCTAGCTTTCTTTACCGGCTTTGGTAGCTCCGGGGAGAACTCTAATTTTCTCTCGGTTTCTTTTGATTCATTTGTTTCGAAACCCTAATTTCTTCATCAGAACTCTGGTATTTTTTCTTTTTTTTGGCGACACCGAGTGTGGTGAGGTTACAAGGTTACCGAGTCCTTCTTAGGTGTTTTTTGCCCCAGTTTGTTGAGCCCTATTTATTTTCTGTAGGAAAATCTAATTGGTTTAGACGTTTCTCTGTAACCCTAGTCTTGAATCCTTAATTTGCAAGGCTAGAGATTTGTTATCTTAGTTTCAATCTGGCAATTAGAACTGCTGCTTCTAGTCTTCGGAGGCCTTTGCTCCAATACACAATAACACAACTGTGGCTTGTTTGAGATCGGGCTAGAAATGGTTGGAGGTGGGAGCAGGATGGGCGATGGGCCCTTGGGGATAAGCAATGCGAACGTTTTCGCTGCTCTCGAAAGCCTTAGGAGAAAGAAGAAATCTGACAAGGAGCATGGGTCGTCGAAGAGCAAGGGATCTTCCAAAAACCGGGCCAAGGAACCTGAACCCCAGGTTTACTGGACGCCGGCGCCTCTGACGGTGAAATCTAGGGCCGATGTTGATGATGATGACGACGATTACTATGCAACAACAGCTCCGCCTAGTGCTTGGGGTTCAACACAACCACAACAAAGGATACTTCAGCTCCCGTTGAGGTGTGTAGTTCGATCAACTCTACCTTTCTGTTTCCTTCCAGAGATATGCTTTTTGGGCGATGTTTAATTCAGTATTACTGTTGTGATGGGGGTACATTATTGATTCATTTTCTGTTCAAACAGTCACTCTTTGATCTCAAAAAACTTATGTCAAGATTTTTCTTCAGCCTTGTCTCCAAATTCTTGTCTGTTTACAATATGCAATGCTAATATCTGATTTGGATATGTATGTTTTAATGCAAGTAATTATCCCGTATCTATGTGGTGGTTTTTCATGCTGTTAACGGACGTTCACTTGTTTATTCTTCTATAAATGTTGTTCCTAGAAATGATTTTGATATCCAATACTGATTTGAATTCAATATTGATATTTCTGATATGRATGGAAAAAATTGATGTTTGTGATCATTATATCTCTGAAGAAGGCTGTTTTCTTGTTTGCATACGTCAGTTGTAAGTGCTGGATGAATCCACTTCTAATGAATACGTATCTTTAACGCATTTCACTATTTCCTACTCTGATCCGATATGCATAGTGTGATTTAAGTGTATCAAAATACTAAGACTCTAAACCACAAGAGACTGAATGTGTTTAGAGTCAGAATCCAACGCTTGTCCAAGAGTCTGGCTTGGCAAGATGAGAAAACATAGACTCACGAAAATAGTTCATATATGATATATCATCAAAGTAGTTCACTTCTTTACTAATCAAGCAGAAGAAAATAGTTTTTTTTTTTTTTTTCTGAATTCTGACATTGTATGCCTGGAAAAAATGTTGACTTTGTTACTAAGCAACATTTGATATAAAAAATTATAGTAATCTTGAACATTATCTGTTCGTTTATGTCAAATAAAAATGGAATGTTACGTTGAAGCGTCATTGAGAAAGGATTATTGGACTCTGATGCATGTCTGTCATGGGTATGCCATCTATTTAGTTACATCCATGCAACAATGGTGCAATCGTGCATATTTGTTTTTTCCTACATTTGTGGGATGATATTTGTGTTCCTGTGCTTATTTGGCATGTGATCCCAGCAAATGCAGTCTTGATGCAATGCATATACATAATAGTTGTTTTACTGTTCAATGAGGTTAATGAATCATAAATGAGGGGAACTTATTGATAAAAAATAAATGAGGGGAATTAATAAGTTTTGCAAGTTGTCTAATTTATTAAGGGTAAAGTCCGTAATTATACTTTGTTAATAATAAAAAGTACAGAATTATATTGAAAATATTCCCAACCGCAATGTAAAAGTTGCACAATCATAAGCTCACAAGTTGTCCACTGTTATGGAGTTCTACATGGAGATTAACCTCTTTTATTTGCATTACTAAATTCCTTGAAGGTAGATGACACAGACACTAGGGAGTACTAGTTTTTCCTACCACTTAGAAGCTATCATGTCTTCAAAAGTCACCGATTTTCTTTTATTCATTTCCTGCATTTTAGCAAATAACTAAGTAAAAAATGCTGTGTATCTTTATTTGGTGCCAAAACACTCTTAGACACCTATATAAGAAAATAAAATAGTGAATTATTTAACAGCTTTCTAAAATTGGTTAGCTCTCATCAAGGCGAGTGGTTTTTCACCCTTTTTAATAGATATCAATCCAAGCAGTCTATGATGTGCATTTCACTTTGATGACATTAGAGTAGTAAATTTTAGAAGTTGAGTTCTCTTGCAAGTTGCAAGTTGCAAGTTGCAAGTATTTACCGTACTGAATAGCTTTTTATAACTAGAATTTTTAGTAGTTAATTAAAAAATGTTAGTTTGATGACATTTTATTCTTCCAATGGATCATGATACATTGGGTGAATTTGTTTGGCCAAAATTTTAGAAACTCATCCCAAATTTTTGGCATTTCACGCAAAACTTAGTTTATCTGAATTTTCAGTTCTATAGGATCCATACGGGGTTGTGTTCTAAGAGATATTTATATTGTCTCTTATTTGGCTATGAATATCAGAGATCCCTTGTGTGCCAGGCTCCTGATTACCATAAACTTGTAGTCCTACATGGTTTGTTGTGAACTTTAATACTGTTTGTGAGTGGAGTTGATCAATTACTCAATTTCAAATATGGAAAAATTCATAATTAGTTCATTGATAAATCATTGTAAGTGGGAAGCCAAGACAACGTGTTCAAAAATGAGTGGCGGGAATGTAGACATTGAGATGGATAAGTGGGAAAACTAGAAAATATAAGGTTAGAAATGAGTTTTTCTCAATGAATCTAGGAGTAGTTTCAATAGGTAATAAAAGGAGGGAAAGTAGAATAAGAAGGTTTGTTATGTGCAAAGAAGACCATCTACAAAATCAGTAATAAGTGGTTTGTTACAAGTTCTAGGGGCTAGAAGAGCTAGGGATAAGGACATGGGTTGAAGTATAGAGAAATCATTTAAGGGCATACAATGACAATTAATAATTGTCACTATACACAACTCATTCCGATATGACATCTCTAGGAGCACCAACACATGGACCAATGAAAAGTTTTCATCAGGTTTCAACATATTAAACGGGCCATGGGTGTGATTTCTTCTAGAGGATAGTCTATAGGTTTCCAAAGCTGCTGCCCAACCTCAAACTAGGAGTTGAACAAGACAGCAGTTCTCTTATCCAAGGTTGAAGTTACAAAACTGGAAATTGAAAGAGATAGTAGCTCTCTCATCCAATCTCCAAGGCTGCCGCCCAACCTCGAGTGCTAGACAAAAGGATTTGAAAGTGGAAAATCGATGTTTCTCCTCTCTGCTTTTTTAGAGAACAGTCTTAAAGGCTTAATGCATACAATTGAAACCAAAAAGAGTTGCTTATAATGAGCACCGCTTGAACTCTATCTCTCTCCAACACCATAAACACCAAAGATCTCTAACAACAATATCAAGAAAGTTGAGCCAAACATATTTGATATTAGAAATTTTGTTGAATCCAAACAACAAATATCCAAAATTGACTTGATGAACTACTAGCTACAAAATCCTAATTTTTTAAGATGTTCAACAACCTTTGCTGATTAGGACTTTGATAAGCATGCCATTTTCATACTTTTCAATTAATGTGGAATACAATAATTAGAAGATTTTGTAATGGTTCTCTTAACAATTTAATATCAAGTTTAATGAACATAAAACAAACTTAACCGTTAATACATCTCAATAAGAACATGTTAATTAACATGAAATAAATTTTTTCGATTGGAGTAGTGACCCAACCTACATCAACACAACTTCAATACATATCAATAAGAGCATCAACAGCTAAAGCATTTTCAATATATTCAACGATTTAATATCAAAGCATGTAATAAACTTAACTATCAAATTGCAAATTTATTCGAGTTGTTCACTTGATTAACGGGTCAAGGTTAACAATTGTTCTATTATTAAAATTTGAAATCATAAAAGACTTATAGGTATGTAGTGCAATACCTTAATGGCCCATTAACTATATATGAAATTTTATTGGAAGTCTCTAGTTTAAAGCAACATTTCATTTGTGGGAAGAATAGGTGGATTTTTTCATGTTCCATTTTTTTTGTTGCAAATGGGAAAATAGTGGAAAAATCAACCTTAGTTTAATAATTAATTAATACTAAATTATTAAATAATTAATACTAAATTATTAAATAATTAATTGATTAATACTAGATTCATAACCCATAAATTATTAATTATTTAATAACATATTAAAAAAATAATTTAATAAAACACTAATGAGTATCATAAAATAAAATATTAATGAAAAATAATCAATAAAAATTTAATAATTAAATAATTATTTTATAATTAATAATTTATCAATAAATAATATTCAAATATTAAAGTTATTAATTAAGTCATGGGTATTTATAAATTATAAGATTAATAATAACTTGAAAACAAAAAAAAATGTAAAACGTTATTTGATTGAAATAATAAACTAACTAATTATGGATTTTAAATAATTAATATCTAATTAAGAATTTAATACGGAATAGTACAAATGTTAATATGAACAAGTTAATAATTAACAAAAAATGGTTACTAATGAATTAACTAAAAAATTAATGAATAAATAAATAAGGATTTATTATTAACCTAATTATTCACTCAATAAATTAAATACTAAAAAAATAAATAATTAAATATAATTAATACTAAACATATCATTATTAATTAATTCATAGTAAATATTAATAAAATAAATTTTAAAATATTAATTCTTAATGAATAACTAATTAGATAGTTATGAATGTTAACTGTTAAAATTATTTTATTAAACCTTAATCATTAATAATTAATAATAATAAAAACATTACTAATAAATTAATTAAAAATTGCTATTAGGGTTGATTTTTCCACTATTTTCCCATTTGCAACAAAAAAATGGAACATGAAAAAATCCACCTATTTTCCCTTTCCCACCCCACTAAAATCTTCCCACAAATGAAATGTTGCTTTAAACCAGAGACTTCCAATGAAATTTCATCTATGGTTAATGGGTCATTAAGGTACCTATAAGTCTTTTATGATTTCAAATTTTAATAATAGAAAAATGGTTAACCTTGACCAGTTAATCAAGTGAACAACTCGAATAAATTTGCAATTTGATAGTTAAGTTTATTACATGCTTTGATATTAAATCGTTGAATATATTGAAAAATGCTTTAGTTGTTGATGCTCTTATTGATATGTGATGAACTTGTGTTGATGTAGGTTGGGTCACTATTCCAATCGAAAAAGTTTATTTCATGTTAATTAACATGTTCTTATTGAGATGTATTAACGTAGTTTGTATTCTACATTAATTGAGAAGTATGAAAATGACATGCTTATCAAAGTCCTAATAAGCAAAGGTTGTTGAACATCTTAAAAAAATTAGGATTTTGTAGCTAGTAGTTCATCAAGTCAATTTTGGATATTTGTTGTTTGAATTCAACAAAATTTCTAGTATCAAATATGTTTGGCTCAACTTTCTTGATCTTGTTGAGCGACATCCTTAGAGATTTTTGGTGTTTATGGTGTTGGAGAGATATAGAGTTCAAGCGGTGCTCATTATAAGCAACTCCTTTTGGTTTCAATTGTATGCATTAAGCCTTTAAGACTGTTCTCTAAAAAAGCAGAGAGGAGAAACATCGATTTTCCACTTTCAAATCCTTTTGTCTAGCACACTCGAGGTTGGGCGGCAGCCTTAGAGATGGGATGAGAGAGCTACTATCTCCTTTAATTCCCAGTTTTGTAACTTCAACCTTGGATAAGAGAACTGCTGTCTTGTTCAACTCCTAGTTTGAGGTTGGGTAGCAGCCTTGGAAACCTATAGACTATCCTCTAGAAGAAATCACACCCATGGCCCGTTTAATATGTTGAAACCTGATGAAAACTTTTCATTGGTCCAATTGTCATATCGGATTGTGTTGTGTATGGAGACAATTATTAATTGTCATTATATATATATAGTGAGCATTAAAGGACCCCTTGGACATGGTTGTAGAGGCTTAAGGGACCCCCTTGGACATGAACATGTGACTTATTTCCCTTTTTATATGTATTTGATGACAATGTAGGACATGTGTTTTAAGAGAGTTTTGTGGCTTATTTTGGTCCTAATTGGTCTTACAAATCAGGACGCTTTTCCCTTCCTACTACGACCTAGATTGTTTTAGTTGCACGAATGAAAAAAAGGCTGGTTGAATGTAACTCCTGGGTGCTCTAAAATTGTGAAGGGAATCAAAGAGGGAATGTGGAATTTGTCTCCTGATGTAATGACTGCAAATTGTCATCATTTATGCACACCTTGTATTATTATTATTTAACCCTATACAGTATGATACATATTTGATGCTTCCAACCTTGATTGGAGAGTTGACATTGGCAATGTTGGACATGTTTTTTCATGGGCCACACCTTATCTCTAGGGTGAAACTTGCTTACCAACATTTCTCTTACTAGAATACATATCTTTTAGTATTTTCATTCTATATTCACTTGCAGGTTTAATTTCTCCTGCTATATCCATGAAGCCTAAACAAACAGAGGTTTAGTGTCCTTGAACGGATTCTTGAGGTTTTTACTGTCTTTCCTTGAAGCGGATGGTGGCGGGTGGCGGCTCTGATGAACAAATGGCTAGAAGAAGGTGATGAACAGTGTTTTTGCCCTTTATTGATATTATTTTTAAAAAAAGTTAACCCATTTTAATTTTTTTTTTAAATATATTACTTTTGTTGATATTAAACCCCAAAAGTTGCCCTTGTATGCTATTACGCCTAATACTATCTAACCTTGCTTCTGTTTGAACTCAACCTGACAGGATTGACGAAAACATGGATGACACACTAGCAAATGTGGAAGGGGCACAAGGAGCGCTGCTCAAGTATCTCATCCAACCGGTGGCTGATGATTAAGATAATCTTTGTATTGATTGTTGTACATAATATCATTTATAGCCACTACACCGTCAAGTGATCAAGTCTCATCCAACATTTCAAAAATTATATTTGCAGTTTTGCACTGCCTTGTTGTACATAACATCATAAACTATGATTGTGTGTATATACAATGAAGTCTACCATTATTCTTCCCTTACATTTTCTCCGGTATGTTGCTGCTAGGATGACATGTCTTCCCTTACAAGTCTACCATTTGTTCTCATTGTAGTTTCATTTGAGTGTTATCTGGTCTACTTCTGTCTTAGTCTTTTACTTTGTTTCATCTTTTATTTTACTTGATCCATACTGCAAACAATCGAACCCATGTTGAAACTCAAAACTAAAATAAACCAGAATTTGCACTCAGTAGTCAATTTGTTTACAAACATGGAAATGGGATCGCACTGCAAACTAACAAATAACAAGAAAGGACTGGTGTGGGTTCAACTTCCTTAATGTCTTAAGATTCCTCTTAAGAGGAGTGTTGAAGAGAAACAAACAGGCCCACACATGAATATAATTTTCAAAAGATTTGGCACATGACCCGACAGGGATTTTGGTTTTGTATCAGGTTCGAGTCTGAAAAGAACTGATCCGAACATTACCAACTAAGATATTTACCACTATTAATTATTCAATTTTCATTTTTAAAGAACTGATATTTAGCCATCAGTGTTTATAGAATATAGGCTTTGGTTCCACCAAATGGGCTTAAATTATTCCTAAATTTTAGAAAATGGACTTATACACCCGACAGTTTGCCAAATCCTTTAAAATGCCTTTACATTCTAACAATTGACTAATTGTATCAAAATTGTCACATTCCATCGGCACGTGATTGTTGTAACTTTTTAAAACCCAATTTTCTCCGTTCACATGTGATTGCGCGTGACATTGATTAGGGTTTTCTTTTGGATTGATTCGATACCACATAAATCATACTAAATCTGAGCCAAATTCATGTATTGTTCTGCTGAGGCTCCACTATTTCTAATCTATATCTATATAACAAGAGGTAAGCCGAGAGGTGAAGTTTGCATCACCCAGAAAGAAACAAATGGTCCATTTCGTGCCACATAATTCCTTTATCATTAAAATCCCAAACATCTTCTTAACCTTTATCACCCCAATCCCCAGTTTTTAGTGTCTTTTAACACCCTTTGTTAGACTAGGTTTTGCTTACTTTTTGCATAAGTCTAGCATTAAAAGGTCAGACATGAAGTTTACAAAGAATCAAAGCCAAAAGTGAATTACAAATTCAGAGATTCATATTCAATCTTCTTACCAGACTAATCAAACTTTGCTATCAAGGTTTCCATACTTACAGGGATTAACCCATGCTCTAATCTTGGTGGTTTTTCCTAGGTGCAACCAAGAGACAACATAGAAAACAATGTGCATTTTGGAAGGTTTACAAACTAGTCTAAGCCAACCAGAAAACAACTGTTAAAAGATAGCTAAAATTATCTCTAGAAAATTCAACAATTAAGGCATCCAATCTATATCTTTTCCAAGCTTCAGACACTCCATGATCTAAGAATAAAAAACAACACTAAAAACCATTTTTTTTTTTACATTTAATCATCTTTGAATTCTTTCCTCACGCATCCATAGGAATTTGATAATCATCAAATATCTAGCAAGTTATTAATATAGTAGTTTTTTGTTCCTTAGCCATCTAACTTCACATGTCTATCTAGGTGATATATTTCTTTTCCAAGTTTAAAACTATTAAGAAATTTGGATCCATAAAGAATGAATGGTGTATTTAGCTAAACTGTTAGTACTGTGAGCATAACCATGAATCATAGATAAATTTGCATTCCTTGTATTTGCAATCATATTGTAAGAACCTACACCCATGCTCTAGATATTATTTTAGCTATTTTTGACCAATTTTCAAGAATCTACACCCAACTATTTGTTATAACTTCATGTGGACCAAACTAGATTAGATTTTAGACATCTTTACTGATTTTCAAGGGGAAAATTTCTAAGCCATTCGACTGCATGGTGCAGTAGGATAACTAGGGGTGCAAATGGATCGGATCATGATCTGATTTGATCTTATTTGGTCGAATTCGATTCACCCCTATTCGGATATTCAGATCGGATAATATGATCCAACCAGAAAGTGGATCAGATTAGGATCATCCCCTATCCGATCCGGTATATATTATATATTTATAAATATACATATATGTGTTATTTATTTATTTTTTATATAAAAATATGTATATATGATGAAAATAATTAAAAATAATTGTATTTTTTTATTTTTAATTTATTTAAATTAGTATATATATACATATTTTTTTATTTTTATTTTAATAATTTATTAATTTTTAAAGAAAACAAGTCGGATCATATTAGATCCGAAGATTCGACTTATCGATAGGATTCAGATTCAAATCGAGTCCAATAAAATCCAATTGGGTCTTCAGATTGGATCTAATCTGACATGAACAATGTTGGATTGGATTTGAACATACCATGAATATATCCATTTGCATCCCTAGTCTATTCTTGGAACTTCTTTTGATAGGTTGAGTTCAATCAGGGTACCGCGAGCTTCAAAAGCATTCAAAATCCAAAAAAAAATAGTAATAATAAGTCATTGTCCAGGGAAGAAGGAGAGGAGGAGAAGGTGAAGAAGGAGAAGAATAAGAATAAGAAAAAAAGGTGCTTACCACTTGTTGATTTTTTTTCTACTGATTGATTCTACGGCATTAAACGTCTATTGCAAAGGGAAATCACCAATGGTCTTCTCACTCGTCATGGTTTGGCTCGAATATGAGAGAAAGGGGGGGGGGGGAGAGTTGAAATGAGACCCGATCTCACGACATGTCTTGGTTGTACATTGGGAACATCTAAATCCTCCAAAATGAGGAGCAGATCGCATCTAAATCATCCATAATGAGGTTTTCCATTTTTTCTGTCTTTTAGTGTTTGGTTCAACCGGATGGATTGAAGTTAACGGCAAAAACCCGCTATTTTGAGGTTAGTCTGAAGGAGTCAACATGCATGCCTCCTATTGGAGGGTCCATTCTTCTTGTGAATCGACAAGTTCACTAGATTTGAGCTCACCCCATACAGTTAGTGGAGTTACAACTTACAAGGAAAACCCGAAAAAGCATATGATAGTGATCCTTTTTACCTTCCACATTCAAGCTTCAATTATTGTTCTAAGGTGATGTGACACATCCACAATCACAAATCTTATGTAAGTTAACATTTGTGCCCCACAAAGCATGCCCCAAAATTGCCCCACATGAACATCTCAGCATGCATTGGGAACATCTCCCCTACTTGTCATTAGGAGATGTTCCCAATACATGGTTAGAATGTGTTGTGGGACGTTTTTGGGCCATGCTCTGGAGATCGGCTTTGGTCAAGGCAAGCCCATGCTCACACCATGCAAACAGCCTCTTGTAACCTTGCATGGGGAATATCTCCCCATGAAATAAAGTACATAAGCACGGAGATATTCCCAATGCATGGCTGTAAAGGTTGTTTCGAATGGGTGCTGCCTTGACCAAAGTCGAACTGTGCTTTGTGGGTTGCAGATGTGAATTCTTCTTGCCCATTCATACAGTTGTTACTTGTAGAAGGTTTTGCGCATCAAAGACAAAGCTGTATTAAAAGGATAATTTTAAGAGTTTTTTTTGTGATAAGTTTGGATATGTATGGATATAGATAAAACCATATTATATATAAAGTGTGAGATGAAAGGATACAATGGGTAACTGATGATAATTTATGCAAGAACGAAAATATGTATTCATTTTTAGAAAATCAATATATTATTATTATTATCATTTATTATTTATATAAATTCTAGTATTAATTAATGGGAATCCATTAATAATAAAAAAATTATGGTGGTGTGTTTGGTCATTTACTTAAATGTAGCAATTAATAGATAAACAATTATAAAGGGGTTATTAATGAGAGACATAACATAAATGGATTCTAATATTACAATTATTTCATGCCATGGCTAATGTAGGAGAAGGAATAACTTTATAGCTAAGTTGGAGGTTGATTCATGAAACTCACCTAATAGAATGAAATTGTTGGTTATTTATGGAGCACTTCAATCTACAAGAGACCCCTGAATGAAAGAGTTTGGTTGGAAGGTTTTGAGTGGCCAAAATTATCTAAGAATCTTAAGCATTGCCTTGAAAGGAGGTTTGAATTGGAGGAAATAAAGAAAACAATCATCTCTATAGATGAATCTGAAGCACTAAGTCCGTATGGATTTACAAAGGCATTTTATCAGGACTATTAGGAAATACTTAGGCAAGATATCCAAAAGGTGTTTAATGAATTCTTTGAGAGGGGTGAGAAATTTAGGGTTGAAATCCACTTTTATTGCCTTGGTTTCAAATACGTGTAATGCATGTCCTTCAAGAGAGTTTATTCCCATTAATTTAGTGAACAAAGTGTTTTTGTAGGGAATAGATAAATTATTGATCAAATTTTAATTACTAATGACAGTGTGGATGATATTAAGAGAAGGTGAAAAAAGAGTAGTATGTAAACTAGATTTGGAGTGTGGATAATTGCTAATGACAGTGTGGATGGAGTGTTTTGGCGAACAAATAAACTAGTAGATTTCTTCATAGCATGCTCACCAAGAGACTTTTAGGTGATGAGAAGTCAAACTTCTCAAAGTTGTAACTTGGGTTCTAGGTATTGATGAGATATGGGATGCAACAGTGAATTGGATTTCGATGACCAAAATCTGAATCTTGTCTAAGGGATGGTCTTTTTTGAAAAAAGTTAAAATACACAAACTAAGGTATAAGGAGGGAAAATTGGATTTTTAATGTTTTACTTACACATTTACACATGATGTCACATGATACAAATTAATGTTAACGTATGACTAATGGAGGAGAGGTTTTTGTTTGAAAACATCGCCACGTAGGAGAGGCTTAAGTCCATTTTGAAAAGAGATGAGAGGTTTTGTTATTTAAAACAAATACGAAGGGAGGTTTAAGTCTTTTACCCAATAATAATGGTCTTCTTGATGGTTGCATATATACAAATGTGGTGTGGCCATATCAAATTAAATAACTAGTTGTCTGTCCATGTCAAATTAAATCATTTTAAATATACGCATATCAAATTAAATCACTCAAGTAATGTGCCCCTGGTGGTGTTATCATACATGATGGTGTAATGTGGCCAAATTCTTTTTCTTATGAGTCAAATGATTTATTTTCCATCAAGTCATATCATTATAACAAGAAGTAAAATCAATGGGCAAGAGAATGCCCCCTAAAGAGCAAATTTTCTCATGATAATGGGATTTTTGAGATAGGAAAATTATATTTATTAAATTATAAATAAGAACAATTTTGCCAATTCCAAAATATATATTTCGAAAGGTAAAGAAAATAATTTTATTTAAGGACATAATTTGGTTGAATAGTTTTACATTTTGAACTAAATTAACAAAGATATAGGGTTGTCAATGGGTCAGGTCTGGGTTGGGTACTGGTTGCAAATAAATATAAATTAGGACAAAAATCATACACCCAAAACCTCCTAATAAATAATCGGGTCTGACCCAATAGACCAGATTATACTGATAGTTATAATTATTTATGCAAATAATAATATAAAACCTGACTTTTGATAATCTAATGTTCAAACGCGACAATTCAGTATGCGAACTTTTAAATCGTGTCAATCTAGTACCTGCAGTTAACTAGCTATTAATCAACCGTTAAATGGCATTTGAAAAAGACACAAATGTCCTTCAAGTGTCATCTAATTTTCTTTATCAACCATCCAAATGTTAATAAAAAATTAACAGTCCCAAATCTTTGCCTCTTTTATTCAAGAAAGTTGGGGTCACGTCTTAGTGGCCATTCTGGTCACCCCAATTCTCTAGAATAGAAGAAGTAAGAATTTGGGATTGTTAAATTTTTGTCAATGTTCGGATGGTTGATCAAGAAAATTAGATGACACTTGAAGGGCATTTGTGTCTTTTTAAATGCCACTTAAAGATTGATTAACATCTGGTTAACAGTAGGTACTGGACTGACATGTGAAAGTTCAGATACTGAATTATCACATTTTAATGTTTGGGGACCAAAATATCACTGGACCCAAAGTAATAAATAAATATTTTTAATTAAAGTTATTCATCAAATTTACCATCTTAGACATAAAATGTAATTAGAGAATTTTATCCATTAAAGACAAAATAAATAAATAAACAAACGATCCATTATAAATTTGTAGTGCTTTACTCATTTGGTTCCTTCCTCTTTTTTATGCCTCTGTTAATGAGATAATGAGGTTGTAGAAGGTTGTTCAATTAGCTCTTCTAAACATATGAAAGTGTTAGGCGGAAGGTGGTTTCATTTGGTTTTATTTGAACTTATGGGGGATAGTATTCTTCGAAATCAAGATGTGGATGTGGATTAGGTCTCTAATGGATACAATTGAAACTATAGAAAGCAGCAAATTTGATATCTTGCATAGCTTGAACCACTTTGAGAGTTGTGGTTGCATAAATAGGCTCCTTCTCCATGATCTGGTACAAAACTATAAGTAAACAATCCAGCTCTAGTGTAGGGGTGTCAGTGGACTGGTTCATGATTGAGATCTCATCAACCATGCAAGCTCCTCCAACTCACATGGATGGTTCTGATGGACAGAGAGTGATGAACCTAAAATATGATGACTGGGTGCAGCTGGGTCAAATTATTCTTGGGTGGATCATTTCTTCTCTCACTGAGAGTGTGGTCATAGAAGTGGTCATTTTGACCACATCAGCTGAAGTCTGGAAGGCCCTATCTACAACCTACTCCGCCATCTCAAGGTCGAGAGCTCTTCATCTAAAGCGACAGCTGCAAAGCATCAAGAAAGGGTTAGAATCGATAATCGAGTATGTCAAGAGAGCTAAGGTAATTGTCGACAGCTTAGCAACTATTTCTGAACTGGTAGGCAAAGAAAATCTTATTCTCTGCATTCTTTCTACACCGGGGACCAAGTATGAGTCCATAGTCACTGTGATCACCAATAAGACTGATTTTGATTTTCTTACTATTAATGATATACTGAGACGTCTCTTAAATCATGAGGCATGGTTGGAACAACACAATCAGCCCACCGCTGATAACCCCCCTTCTGCAAATTTTGTCGCACATGGTAAAAATAAAAATAATTGGAACTCCAAAAATACAAACTGAGGGGGTGGTTCTGCTCCCGGCAATGGTAGAGGTCACAGCGGTGGCCGCAACCGTGGAGGTTATCCTAACCAGCATAATGGCAGCAAAAATAAAGGTGGTGGCCGTGGGAAAGGAAATTTTTCCCAAATCTTCTACCAGGTTTACAACAAACCAAGCCATGGTGCTCTTATCTACAGGAGGCGCTATGACATCATATCAGGGAGAACAACAGACTCCTTCAGACAGTGTTGCGTATCACACAAGTGTTGGGAATGAGGTTGATCCCACGTGGTATCCAAATTCAGGCGCCACTCATCATCTAACTCCAGATGTAGACAATCTGCAAAATCGGTCCAAGTACATGGGTTTGGATCAGGTTACTGTTGGTAATGGACTATGTTTGTAAATTTTACATTTCGGATCTTCATCATTGACACATAATAATCATACATTTGCTCTCAACTCCACTTAATCTACTTTCTATGAACAAATTTATCAAAGACAATGATATTTACCTTGAATTCCATCGTGATTTCTTTCTTGTAAAGGATTATACGGGGAGAGTTCTCATCGGAAGAACCTATAGAGATGGACTCTTGACTCCCAATATCCTTAACACACATACATGTGTATGTTTGTGCTTATGACTATATAGGTAATTACACTGAATTTTCTATTCATGTCTCTCAAGAGTACGAATGGTTGAGTTTGGTGGGACGTGAAAAATGGTGCACTAATACCTAAATGTATGCATGTAAATTAAGAATGGATTATTTATCCTTGCATCATATGGTTGTGATCAACTGAAAAAACCTAACCAGTGTATGCCCTTAGCTCCAATCAGAATGATGTACATTATGACATTTAATGTAAATGAATAAAGTACATATTTGATTCATGTTATTATGGTGTATTTTTGTGTAATACCCTTAAACTGGACACTTATGAGACTCGTGTTAATTTAGAAACTTCACGGCCATTGGATAGATCTAGGGAGATTTATTCTACAAAGGCTAACACTGATGTGCCACCAAGTTGGTTGGGGTGGCTTGTCTCAGCTGCCAGGGTGAGACTTGAGGTACATGAAGTGTGGGTTTTCTTGAAACCCTGAACCAGACTAGAATTCCAGTATTGCCCTGGACCTTAGAGATAGATGGGCAAAATTGGAATGTTACACCTGACCCTTAGACTCAATTATGATACTTCACTAGGTGTTGAATTGGGCTGTCTTTGATATGCCAATCAGTGAGATCCTTAGAGGGGGTCAAAACCTGGGTATGTTGGGACAGTCCGAGAATTCATCTTAGTGGGTGATCATAGTGACAGGATCAGCCCCTTTGTCGGACAAAGTGAATGGTCGGGGATGCACTCTCTCTGATGGAAACCAAAACTGCCGACAGTCGATTTCAACCGTTGAAATTTGTTTTGCAAAATATATTTATATAGAGATATACATATATATTATGGTTTCAAAATGTTTGCAAAAGGTTTTAATTCCCGAGATCCATGTGAGTAGAGAGTGCAGCACTGTACCTTGCAGCCGAGGGATAGGTCCTCTCCTGTCGGGCAGTGTTTGATCATTATGGGCTGAGAGGTTAAGTGTAAGACCATTGAGGGTAATCCCTGATGGGCTAATCTTGCATCTGACCACAGTCCTTGGGTTTTTATAAGGTGGTTTGACCCAAGGACCATTTAGTGTAAATGTTGGGCCCATTAAGAGCCCATGGTGATGGGCTCAGGGGTTCGCTGTCTCTTACAATGAATTCGGCCAGGCCTTATAACAAAGGCTAGGTTGAACCCATGTGGCTGATGTTTAGATCAATGTTTGGGTCCCATGCAATACAAGGATATCCAACTGGGCAGTAGTTTGAAGGATAAGTGAGCACATAGACTTAATGGGCCTAAAGCCCAATTCGAACTGGCTTAATGAGATTAATTAAAGAGTGGCGGTTCTGGGATTTAGATCAGCAGATAGGATAAGGGATTGTCCCTATCCACTCAGAGAGTCCAGATCCAAATAGAGATGGAGGGCTGATCTTTATCTGTAGATAAGATAAGGGATTATCCTTATCTCTTAAAGAGAGTCCAGATCCAAATACAAGATTTGGATTAGGAATCTCCTAATGGGATTAGGAGAACCTCTCTTTCAGGCTATAAATAGAGGAGCAGGGTGAACCTCCAGTTCATCCTTCAGTCTACTGATTCAAGAGAGAAGATAGCATACAGTTGGACTGCCTCTATCTTCTGCTCTTGCTCTCTCATATTATTGTCGCCATAACCAGTTCGATCTCCACTCTAGGAGCCATCAAGAAAGGGTTCTTGATATCATCTTTTTCCAGAAAATGTGATCTGAAGTTGTGCTCACTCGCCCTCCATCAGATTCTTGCTGAAGAGCCATCTTGTTGATTCTGCTTCATCCTGCACCGTGTCATCTTCGGTGGAAGTAGTCTTTGGATTCATCCTTGGGCGTGAACACCTTTATTAGAGGTTACTATTACTTCGTATCAGGTATAACCCTCCACTCCCTTTTAGTTTCAAATCTGGTCTGGTTTTAGTTCAAAATTGATCCTTGAAAATGCAGTTTTCTAAAATAGGGAATATGATTCTCACATGGAAGAAAGAGAAATTTTTGAAATTTCACCCTACCTTCCTGTAGGATTCGGCCATCTATATGATGGATCTTTCATCCCTTGAACTAATACCTAAATGTATGCATGTAAATTAAGAATGGATTATTTATCCTTGCATCATATGGTTGTGATCAACTAAAAAACCTAACCATAAGAGAATGTAATATTAGCAAAATGTATACGTGTGCTTTAGTAAAAAAAGTGAAATGGTACCTATCAAAGAAGAAGAAGTGAAATAGCATATTGCTTGAGTGTCAAGCAAAGCAATAAAAAATTCACAATATTGACATAAATTATCATAACAAGAACACCATAAACTACTAAGCTATTGAGGGGGGGGAGCAGATAAACAATGGAAGGCCAACAAATTTGTGTACTATACTTATTCTTTTTATCACCTTGTATTGGATTGAGGGTCCCATCCTTGTAAGAAAAAATGACTGAGAAGTTTCCCCGCCTTGAAGGAAACCTGCGCCCTGCTCGTCCAAATCCTGTGCCATTTTATCGTACAATTTCGACCTTCGATCGGAATTCAAAACAGGGGAATCTGTTAAAAATGCAGGAATAATTTGTGAGCACAATCTCAAGAGAAAGCATTCGGAACTTTAACTCTGGAGAGCAGAATCTAGAGAGTACCCGAATCAGTAAATTGATAATTTTTGGATGAGGAAGAATGGCCATTCGGAACACCAGGATCGGAGAGAAAACAAATCATAGCTTTCGTTCTTGCATGGATCCAATAAATTCTAATCGCCTTTGCCAAGTTTCCATACTCATGCTTCAAGATAGGGCTGTTCATGGGTCGGGTTGGGTCGGTTTACTGAGATTTTTTCAATCGACCCGATCTGGTCGGGTTACCTAAAATTAGAATTGAAACCAACCATGTGTTAAGCAAAACCGACCTGGTCGATTTGATTCGGGTTGGGTCGGTTTGGGTCGATTTCTACTCTAAGTTCAACCATGGTAATAAATTGGTAGATTGGAGAAAGAATACTGAAATTTGATGTAAAAAATGACACCTAATTCTATTAAAGAAAGAAAACTGAAATTGGTAGGGAGTGGATCAAGTTAGAATAGAAGTTATCAAGAAAATAGAAAGTCAAACTATATTAAAGAAAGAATACTAAAATTTGTATATTTCAAGAAACCTTCTAATCTAAGTAAAAAATGACATCTAATTCTAATTGTAATTGGTTGCCTATTTGGTGTAAAAGACCATAAAAAGTATGATCATTTGATTCTTTTCTTTAAACTTTTTCAAAAAAATTCATTGTCTAGTTGTTTTACAATACTTGCCATTAATATCATTCCTAACTAGAATACTAGAAATTAAATTAGGTTGTTAACTAGGATAGAGACAATTTAGTTAAGTAGGAACTAAGTAGGTTGTAAATACTAACTAGAAACTAACTACTAACTACTAAATCGGTTCGGGTCGGGTCGGTTTCGGTTTTCACATATGAAAACGGAAATCAACCCAAACCATCGGTTTATGATTTTTTACAACCCGAAACCAACCGATACTAAAGAAAACCCGGCCGATTCAGGTTGGATCGATCCAGGTCGGTCGGTTTGGTCAGATTGGGTTTTTTTATGAACAGTCTCGGGGAAGTTGCCTGTTAAATGCCATCTTCACTTCATTGGTGGGTAAAAAAGCGCAATATTATACCCAATAAATCCATGACACGTGGAGGTTGAGGATGGGACAAATTCTTTGCCCAGAACTTTGACTAATCAAAACCTGAAACCGCCCCCTCCCCCGAGTGCACCCACCGGCGGCGGCTACCACCCGTGGCAATGGCATGATTTTGATGATACTTTTGTCGCAGATATTCCCTAGTGGGCCACATAGTTTCGAGTTCAGATCGACTTCTCACATAGCGCGCACACACATTCAGTGCATTGGGAATATCTTTCCATGACAAGTGTAATAAATATTATCGATATACCCTCAGACGTGCATGTCGGACGCACTCTGTAGAGAGTTCATCCGAACTCCATAGTTTCAAACGAGCCCAGATGTCTTTAAAGCAAAAAATTTAAATTCATCCTTAAAGCAAAAAAAAGAAAAAAAAATCATGAGATGCTCCTAATGTACGACTTGGTTCCCTATTTTTAGAGTGTGCAGCATTTTCAGTCCAAAAGGATTCTCGTCTCTCGTCTACACCAGCCCCAGCATTCTTTCACTTGCACGAATAACCCAAAAGAGAAGACCAATCAAGCAAAAGATTCAATTTTCCACGTGTTCCTTTATAGAGATTTGAGTTCTCCATTGAAATTTCAAATTTGCCTAATAGTCCACTCCATGCGCCCCCAGCATTGGACCTTTTCTTATTAGTGGACGAAATGTTACGATTTTTTTTTTTTTTTTTGAGTTATGATGCGTTGGAATTTTATGAGTTACAAATTATGGTACATTGAGAACACTGTCTAAAAGTATTGACTAACTAGGTGAGAAGAGGGTGATGTTTGGGATCTATGCCAATTTCTCATAAATCAGTCATTTAAAATCGGTCAGAAAAAGGTGATATTTGGTATCAATGCCATTTTCTGAGAAAATTATGTTATATTAGAGAAAACGGTATTTTAAATAATACTTTCTTGTTCGGTACTATTTTTTTAGAAAAATCGTTGCTCTAGACCACGTCTTGGAAATCATGAAAAGTATGGTTTGGAGCGACACCAAATTCAATGTTTTTTGGAAAAACGGTGCGTTGCTGCCAACGATGCAATGACATGGCATCAATGTAGCATCACCTTAGACATTGGATAATAT